CCCGCGTCTCCTGCATCGGCAGGCGGACTCTCAAGCACTGCGCCACCAGGGAAGCCCAGTGTCATAGTTTTGTTTTATGCAGCTGTCATTTAAATTAGTTAAGAGCTGAGTAATGAATATTTTCAACTGTCTTTTATATTGATCTGTGTAACTCTTAACTGGTGTTCTTTATTTCTTTGTGCACTTTTGAATCACCATCTGCTGACATTTCGTTTCACCCTAAAAGACGTGTTTTCTTATTTCTTGTAAGGCAGATTTTCTCACAACGAATTCTGTCCTTTGTTTTTCTGGGAAGGTCTAAATTTTGCTTTCAGTTTTGAAGGATAGATTGCTGCATGTAGAATTCTTGGTTGACATTTTTTTCGGCATTTTGAATATGTCATCCCACTGTCTTTTTCTGGCCTCCATTATTTCTGGTAAAAATTCAGCTACTAATTTCATTGTGTTCTTCTGTATGTGAAGAATCATTTCAGTTCCAAAGTTTCCAACTGATAATTTTTTATCATTTCTATCTCTTTATATTTGATTAGTCAATAAAATCATACTTTCCCTTAATTTGTTAATCTTCCCTTTAGTTCTTTAAACATATTTATACTAGCAGTTTTGAAGTCCTTGTCTGCTAAGTCAAACATTTGTGTCCCCTAAGAGATAGTTTCTTTCTTTCTTTATTTTTTTCTTGTTTATGGGTCACACTCTCCTATTTCTCTGCATGTTATAATTTTGTTGTTGTTGAAAACTATACGTTTTAGATAATATGTTGGAGCAAATCTGGATTCCAAATCCTCCATTCCAGAGGTTATTTTTGTTTTTTCTTTTCTGTTCATTTGTTTGTTTAGTCACTTCCTGGACAAGTTCCATAGAGTCTGTCTCCCTTGCATCATGTAGCTGCTAGTATCTCTTTAAGTTTTTGTTTTGTTTTGTTTTGTTTTTTCGGTATGCGGGCCTCTCACTCTTGTGGCCTCTCTCGCTGCGGAGCACAGGCTCCGGACGCGCAGGCTCAGCGGCCATGGCTCACGGGCCCAGCCGCTCCGCGGCATGTGGGATCTTCCCGGACCGGGGTACGAACCCGTGTCCCCTGCATCGGCAGGCGGACTCTCAACCACTGCGCCACGAGGGAAGCCCAAGTTTTTTATTTTTTATTATTATTTTTTATTTTTAAGTCCAGCTTCCTAGGGGTTGCCCCTGAGTCAGCATAGCTTAATAGTGAGATGATGATTGATCAGAGGTTGTGTTTACCTTGAGCTAATAAGGCTTTCACCCTTTGCCAGTAGATCTGTGTGTGGGTTTGGGAACACTTTCAAAATTTAGGCAGTTTACAAGTCTGATTGGCTTTTACTTTTTGACATGCCTTCTCATGTCTCCTTTATGAGTGTACTGGGTTTCACATTCATCTGGGAATGCATGGATAGCTAGTGCCCTCTTCAGTCCCTCCTGAGCATGCACAGCCTTCCAGACTACAGCGGGTATTTGTGGGCTTATCAAAATCCTCAATGGCTTTCTTATTCCCCAAATCTCCCTGTTACATTTCTTGCAAGTCTGCTGGTCTGTTTCTTGCCCCTACCAGTGTCAAAACCTGAAGCTAGCCAAAATGTTGGCCTTGCCTGGGATATGTGCTTCATTCTGAATCAAGTTATCCCCCTCCAGCAGTGGAGCTGCTGGTTTTTAGGACTTGTCTATTTAGAACTACCAAGTTAATAGAAACTGGGGGAAGGGATTTTGCTCTAAGTTATTTCACTCAGCCACTTTGCTATTATTGGACATTAAGGTTTTTCTAACTTTTTGATACAAGGACCATCTTTATGAAGCTTTCCTTTCTTACCATTTGTGTTAGTTTCCTAGGCCTATCATGACAAGCTCAGTGGTATAAAACATCAAATATTGGGCTTCCCTGATGGCGCAGTGGTTGAGAGTCTGCCTGCTGATGTAGGGGACACGGGTTTGAGCCCTGGTCCGGGAAGATCCCACATGCCGTGGAGCGGCTGGGCCCGTGAGCCATGGCCACTGAGCCTGCGCGTCCGGAGCCTGTGCTCTGCAACAGGAGAGGCCACAACAGTGAGAGGCCTGCATACCAAAACAAAACAAAACAAAACAAAACAAAAATATATATATTTTTTTCAATCACAGTTCAGGAAGTCTGAAATCAAAGCATTGCCAGGTTTAATTCCTTCTGGAATTCCTTCTGGAATTCTCTCTAAGAGAGAATCTATTCCATTCCTCTCTCTAGCTTCTAATAGCTGCTAACAAGCCTTGGTATTGCAGCATCCCTTCAATCTTTGCCTCCATCGATACATGGCCTTCCTCCCTGTGGGTCTGTGTACCTGAATCTCCCTCTCCTTTCTCTATAAAGACACCAGTCATTGGATTTAGAACACATCCTAATTCCATATGACCTCATCATAAATAATTACTTAAGTAATTACTTCTTCAAAGATCCTATTTCCAAATAAGGTCACATTCTAAAGTTTTGGGTTGACATGAATTTTGAGGGACACTATTCAACTCAGTACACCATTTATTATAAAGTATCATTTGAAAATCAGTATGGTCTCTCTGTTGTAGATTAGGTTATCTTTTGCGAAGATTAGTTTGAAAATAAATAGAATGGTAAAATGGCACTTGACTTTTTTAGTTGGGATAGTTTCTCAAGTTAAGCTAGCTTGCACCCTCTTTTTGGTTACTTTGTTTACATTGTTAAGAAAAAGGCAGAGAGATCTGTGGACAGGAAAGAGTTGGCAGAACCTCACTCTTCTCAACTCTGACTTGCATGTCTGCTTTTAATCTAGAGCCAAATAACTATCGGACCATGCGTGGCCGGGCAGTAAATGGCAGCCAGTTGGGAAAAGATTACATCCAGCTGAAGAGCCTGTTACAACCCATCCGGATTTACTCCAGAGCCAGCTTGTATGGCCCTAATATTGGGCGGCCCAGGAAGAACGTCATCACCCTCCTAGACGGGTAGGTCAGATTATTTAGCAGTTTTTAAAACACTGTTCATTAAATGTAATGAATTAATGTATTTTTATTTTTCCTGGTTATTTCTGGTCTTAAGAAGGGCAGAGAGACTTTTTCATAGTGACATCTCCCACCATAAATCAGGGATTCTCTACCAAACAGTGGAAGAACTTATCTCTCCAGGCCTTCCACAGTCAGCAGAAGAGGGTGGGATTGGGAGGGATATCACAACCTCCAGAACAGGTTGGAAAGGATGTGTTGTTTTAAAAAGCACATTTAATATTACAGCATTGCATAACATCACTTAATATTTTTTAAAAGGCAAAATATTATCTACTGTATTCTTGGGACCTCTTACAGAAGGTAAAACTTGACAAATCCTGGACAGTGGATCTGGGTTAAAAAGTTGAGAAACACTACAAATGCTTGTACATTAAAGCACAGCTTAACAGATAGATTTATTAGGTATTCTAGAGAATTGCTATCATGTGATTTATTTAATTTTGACTGAATCTAACAATCATTTTTTAAGCAGTGGTTATGCATGCAGCACTATGTTAAATGCTCTCTTCCCCAGTCCTGCTGGTGGGCCAGGCCCAGATTAAATAAGTGGAACATACATGCACGTTGGGTCCAGTTATGCAGGGTTGGAGTGATGTCTGAGGGAATAGCATGAGGAAGACTGAAGATATATGTTGAATCAAAGACTCAAAGAGGATATGTAACTACAACAGAGAGGGTAGGAACAAGGAAGTTGGGAGAGGCAGGAGTTCATGTGACATACAGAGTATGCACCAAGGCACACCTTTTGTGCAGTATCCTGTCATATTCTAGGACAGGTATGGTTATTACTACAAATTCAAAGACAAGTAAGATGTTTTTCAGTGAAGTGTACAGCCCAAGTGAGGTTAGATAAATGCTGTACAAGTATAGACAGATACGTTCCAGTAGCAAGAAACCTCTGGCCAACCTCCTGAATGGCCCTTGTGGCTTGATGGCTCTTATGACTCTCTCTCTTCCCTTTTGTGGTAGCTTAGTCTTGATCTAAGCTAATTAACGTAGCAGACATTATTGAAGGCTTGGGAAGCTGGAAGGATTTACACTGTAACAACATTAACAGCCTGAAGTTTAATTTTAGGCATTTTCGTCTTTACAGAGAATCCCCAAGCTCTTATTTTAATTCCTATCCTTTCCCCATCCTTCATTTTTCTCTCTCTCTCTCTCAGTAGGAACTTCCGTTTTCTCTTGCAGAACAATTTTCTGACCTTGATTCCTACCTACAAATGCAGCTCTGGGCTTCCCTTTGCATACTTTTGCTGAACTTTGAAATTACTCTGTGTGTGTGTGTGTGTGTGTGTGTGTATGGGATGGTGATGGAGAGGTTGGTTTTATTTTACATGTTTTAATTAGGGATTAAGAATCACACATGTAGAACATTTTCATAGTTCATAATACACAATCAAGCAAAGACAATAACTATCACTTAAGTCCACATAGTTATTCTTCTAGATTATACCTTTTCTTTAATGATTTGATTAATATATTTTCATGGGACTGACAGTCTTCTCAGTAGCATGACCCTGTATCAATCATTCATTCATTCTGCAAATACTTGTTGAATAATTGCTATGTTCCAGGTACTATGTTAGGAACTGGGAATGTAAAAATAAACAAAAATAGATACTTTCTCTGACCTCATGGAGTATATAATACGGTAGCGGAGACACAGACAATAATCAACTTATCTTAAGACTAAAACAGTACCAAGGAGAGGTACATGGTACTATGAATGGCTGTAAGTGCTGGGATTTGACTAAGTTAGGTGGTTGGAAGTGTTCCCTAAAGGAGTCACACTTAAGAGGAACAAGCACATGAAAAGATGCTCAACATTGCTAATCATTAGAGAAATGCAAGTCAAAACCACAATGAGATATCACCTCACACCTGTCAGAATGGCTATCATCAAAAAGACCACAAATAATAAGTGTTGGTGAGGATGCAGAGAAAAGGGAACCCTAGTAGACTGTTGGTGGGAATGTAAATTGGTGCAGCCACTTTGGAAAACAGTATGGAGGTTCCTCAAAAAGCTAAAAATAGAGCTACCATATGATCCAGCAATCCCACTTGTGGATATATATCTGAAGAAAATGAAAACACTAATTCAAAAATATATATGCACTCCAGTATTCATAGCAGCATTATTTACAGTAGCCAAGATATGAAAGAAACCTAAGTGTCCATCAACAGATGAATGGATAAAAATGTGGAATGGAATATTACTCATCCATAAAAATGAATGAATTTTGCCGTTCAAAACAACAACATGGGTAGACCCAAGGGGTACTATGATTAGTGAAATAAGCCAAACAGAGAGAGACAAATACAGTATGTTATTACTTACATGTGGAAACTAAAAAATAAAAAAATGAATGAATATAAAAAAACAGAGTCACAGGTACAGAGAACAAACTAGTGGTTACCAGTCAGGGAGAAAGAAGGGGGAAGGGTCAAGATAAGGGTAGGAGATTAGGAGGTACAAACAAACTACTATGTATAAAATAAAAAAGCTACAAGGATATATTGTACAGCATGAGAAATATAGTCAATATTTTACAATAACTTTTAAAAAATTTTTTTCAGTTTTGACATTCTAGGGTTGTATTTTTTAAAATTAATTAATGTATTTATTATTTATTTTTGGCTGTGTTGGGTCTTCGTTGCTGCACGTGGGCTTTCTCTAGTTGCAGCGAGCGGGGGCTAATCTTGGTTGCAGTGCTCTGGCTTCTCATTGCAGTGGCTTCTCTTGTTGCAGAGCATGGACTCTAGGCACCTGGGCTTCAGTAGTTGTGGCATGTGGGCTCAGTAGTTGTGGCTTGCGAGCTCTTGAGTGCAGGTTCAGTAGTTGTGGCCCACGGGCTCAGTTGCTCCGCAGCATGTAGGATCTTCCCAGCCCAGGGCTTGAACCTGTGTCCCACGCATTGGCAGGTGGATTGTTAACCACTGCGCCACCAGGGAAGTCCTACAATAACTTTAAATGAAGTATAATCTATAAAAATATTGAATCACTATGTTGTACACCAGCAATAATGTAATATTGTAAATCAACTATACTTCAATTTTTTAAAATTCATTAAAAATAAATGAAGTGTAATCTGAAGAATGAGTAAGGTGTTAACTAGACAAAATGAGAAGTAAACAGTATCAGTGTTCTTGGAAGAAAGATAAGTATGTGCAAAGGCCCTAAGGATGAAAAATGGGCCAGATTGGCTAAAGAAAGGTATAGCTAGAGAAGTAATTAGGAGTCATATTATATAGGGACTTACAGGCATAGTGAAGGGCTTAGAATTTCTTCTAAGTGCAGTGAGACAAATACTGAATGTTTTTAAGCTAGGGAGAGAAATAATTTGACTTATTATACAAAAAGTATGCTGTGTCTCCTCTATGGAAAATGGATTGGAGAGGAGGCAGGGAAATTGGTGAGAAGGCTGTTGTAGGAGTGCACATAATGACAGGAACCTGAGTTGGGTTGTGGCAGTGGAATATATTGTTGGAGGTAGAAACCACAGGACTTGATATATTGGATAAGTGTATGGTGATGTGACACAGGGATGTGTAAGTAACTGGGTGGATGTTATTATCATTTACGAAGATGGGAAGATAGGGGGAATAACTGGTTCTGGGGAAAAAAAATCATGACTTTAGGTTTCATGTTATGTTTATTGTGCTTGAATCTAAATGGAGATGTCAAGTATATCCTTGAATATGAGTGAAGGCATCAAGGTCTCTGCTAGAGATATTAATTTTAGTGGTCATTATCATGCAAATGGGATTTAAGGCCATCCATGGGAATATAAGAGATCTGTTAGAATATGGAAAGAAAAGAGACAGAGACTTAGGAGAGAGCTCAGAGGAACTATCACATTTAGAGATGTGAGAAAAGAAGGATAGCCTTAGAAGTAAGAGGAAAGGGAGAGATTGAGGTGTAGGAACCAAGAAAAGAAAGTTTTAAATAAGGAGGGAGTGCTGCTAGAAGTCCAGGAGGTCAAGTAATAGGAAGACAGAAAAGTGCTATTGAACTTGGCAACATGCAGGTTGTTGGTGACCTTGAGAAATATAGTTCAGCGGAGTGGTGGAACAGAAGTCAGATCACAATAGTTTGAAGAGTGAATGGAGGGTGAGAAATTGGAAACAATAATGTGGACAACTCTTAGGAGAATTCTTACTGTGAAGGAAAGTAGAAAAATGAAGGGGGATTTGGGGTCAAGGAAGATAATGGCATTTTTTCCCCTTTAATTTAATGTGGGAGACAGCAGAACAGGTTTGTATTTTGAGACTTATCCAGGAAAGAAGAAGAGCTAGATGATACAAGAGATCAAGGATATAACCAAAATGAGAAGTTCCTTAAGGCTAGAAGAAATGGAATCCAGAGGAACTGGCCTTCATTAAATGGAGGGACAATTATACCAGGGTAACAGAAAGGAAGAAACAAATATTTTTCTATGTCAGAGATTAAAAAGTCATACTGAGGAGACACTTCTACCCAGTATATAAGGTATAGTTAAGGCATCCCAGTTTGTGTACATGGTGTAATTTGGGCACATAGTTGCTAGTTTGTTGTGAATAAGTCAAGAACTTGGACACAATAGTTGGCAACAGATGAAAGAAATGATCATGTGACTGGGTGGTGTGGTGACAAGTGGTGAGGCCTACTTCCCCATACATCCGAAAACTAATAGCACTCAAGAGACTAGAAAAAATTACATAGGGCAAGAAGGAAAGGTATTGATGAACATTTTTTTTCTTTTATGTGCCAGAAAAAATGGGTATTTACCTTTCTTAATGTATATGTACTAAATATACATATATAACTTTAAACACATAAACTTTAAACACATAAACATATAACTTTAAAAACATAAACATTCCCAGTGACTCAACCAACAATAACAAAAATGTCAGTACTCTAAATTACCAGCTCTGTAGTTTTTCCAATCCTCCTTGTT